TCTATCTATCTATCTATCTATCTATCTATCTATCTATCTATCTATCTGCAAGTCATCTTTTTTATTAATTTTTTTATTTTGTTTTACAAACATTCCATCTTTCATTTAAACAGTGTGTCATCTAGATACAAATATCTTCTGCAATAATATTTCTAATTAGTACAAATTCCTTACCATAACAACAATAATTACATTCTTATTTTAACCGGCTAACACATAATATATTTCATCATTATCACCATCCTGTTGAGCTCTTTCTTCTCTGCATTCTTATATTTAATTTCTAGCTTCCATTTTTTATTTTCCAACCATTGATAAAATAATTCCCATATCATATAATATTCAGTTTGTTCTTGTTCTTTGATTGCCCATGTTAATATGTTCATTTCTGTACACTCTAAATATTTTCCTGATCATGCCCCCAGAGTCATCTTGAGGGTGCACAATAAATTTTATAAATTAATACATTAATAACTTACATGGTATCTCAGGTATTTTCAAAAGTATGCATTCTGACTGTATACAGATAGTCCTTGACCTACGGCCACTAAATTTATGTTGCTAAGTGAGATGTTTGTTAAGTAAGTTTTGCCCCATTCTACAACCTGTCTTGCCACAATTGTTAAGTGAATCCCTGCAGTTGTTATGTGAATCTGGCTTCCTCATTGTTTTTGCTATAGAGTTGCGGTGGCGCAGTGGTCAGAGTGCAGTACTGCAGGCTACTTCTGCTGACTGCCGTCTGACTGCAATTTGGCAGTTCGAATCTCACCAGGCTCAAGGCTGACTCAGCCTTCCCTCCTTCCGAGGTGGATAAAATGAGGACCCAGATAATTGGGGGGCAACAGGCTGACTCTGTAAACCACTTAGAGTGGGCTGTAAAGCATTGTAAAGCGGTATGTAAGTCTAAGTGGTAGTGCTATTGCTATTTCCTTCCTTCCTTCCTTCCTTCCTTCCTTCCTTCCTTCCTTCCTTCCTTCCTTCCTTCCTTCCTTCCTTCCTTCACAGTGGTTAGAATGCAGTATTGCAGGCAAACTCTGCCCACTGCCAGGAGTTCAATTCTGACCAGCTCAAGTTTGACTCAGCCTTCCATCCTTCCGAGGTTGGTCAAACAAGGATCCAAATTGTTGGGGGCAATAGGCTGACTCTGTAAACCACTTAGACAGGGCTGTAAAACACGGTACAACGGTATATAAGTCTAAATGCGATGGCTATTGCTTCTCAGAAAGTTGCAAAAGTTGATCACATGACCCGAGGACAGTGTAACCATCATAAATATGAACCAGTTTCCAAACATCTGAATTGTGACCATGTTACCACGGGGATGCTGGAATGGTCATAAGTGTGAAAAGGGGCCATAAGTCATTTTTTTTCCAGGGCTGTTATAACTTTGAACAGTCACTTAATTAACTGTTATAAATTGAGGACTACCTGTACCGGGGGTGGGTGGGGGTGGTACCATTTTGATGGGTGTATTCCAGTATCATTCTGTCTCATTCCCCCCCAAAAAATAGGAAGCCGTGATGAGTTGCTGGATCCAGTTCAGTGATGGAGCAGTTATGCCCTTAGACATATACGACGCCCAGGACTTTTCTTTGGTGGCCACGTCTCTGGATGAGAAGGTGGTGTCCGTCCACCAGGCTCCCAAGTTTAAGTGGCCTTTCCTCGTGGCCGAGTCAGAAGGCCAGGGTCTCTTGGTGAAAGTGGAGCTGGTCATCAGTGAATCGTGCCAGAAGTCAAAAAGGAAGAGCATTCTGGCAGTGGGTACCGGAAACATCAAAGTCAAATTTGGCCAGAATGACACTGTCTCCAACCCAAGTGACAGTAAGCATGGCAAAGACGGGGTCCACCTGGAGAACCGGACCACTGATCGTCGTCAGAAGACAAGCTTGCAGGAGAGATCTCGCCCAGAGGGACCTTACTACAGCTCCTCCATGGGACATGAAGAAACCAGGACGACTAGCACTCAGAAGTCCATCCTGAGCAAGAAAGAAGACCGCGAGAGCCTCCTAGACGACGACGGCCGTATGCAAACTCTCCCGATAGACTTCACCAGTTTCCCAGCTCAGGTAGACCTGCCCAGGAGCGATGGGGATTTGGAAGAGGACGATGCTGAGGAGACACCCAGGGGCTTAAGTGACTTGGAAATCGGGATGTATGCTTTGCTCGGTGTCTTCTGCTTGGCCATCTTGGTGTTCCTCATCAACTGTGTCACTTTTGCCTTGAAATACAGGCATAAGCAGGTTCCGTTTGAAGAGCAAGAAGGCCTCAGGCATTCTCACGACTGGGTAGGACTGAGTAATAGAACTGAGCTGCTGGAGAACCACCTCAATTTCTCCACCCAACAGGAGGAATGCATTACAGCCATTGACAGGAGCGTGGATTTAGAAGAAAGTAAATATCTCCTTAGTGCCAACCCTCAGAAGAACCTCAACGGCCAACTCTTCCGATCCACAGACTCTGCCACCTCCCCAGAAAGGAAGGAGCAGAAGAACGAACAGGCCACCTCGCCCACCTCCAAGCGGAAACGTGTCCAATTCACCACCTTCACCACCATCTCTTCAGATGGTGGCTACCCGACGGTCAACTCCATTCTGACCAGCAGTGAGGACGATATCAAATGGGTTTGCCAAGACATGGACTTGGGGGAATGTAAAGAACTAAGGAACTACATGGAACAGCTACATGAAAAAGTGTAACAATACATCTGAAAAAGATTCTGTTTTCTTTCTTATCTCTTCTTTTTTCCCCCTCTCCACTCACCTTTCTGCCTTTACGTTGAGATAGTAGTCAAAAACAAGGAGCATAGAGAGAGAAAATAGAATTTGGTGCATAACCCAAATGTGGGTCATTGGGTTTTCGTGGAAAATATCCAGAGTATAGTCAAAAATCCCAAATAACAAAAAATATAATATTGAATGGGACTTGTAGAGAGGTGTTGGATGCCAACACACAAGGGAAAATAAAAAAAAAATGAATAAATAAGGAGAAGTCAAGTAAGATCTCATTCTTTGAGCTGAACCTCCCAAGTCAAGACCCAAAAGTAAATCCTGATGTACGGTTTAGAATGCTTTCAAGCTGGTTAATTCTCAGTATTTCAGATTTGCCATCTGAATCTTATATTTGGGGGAGGGGAGGCGATGGGTGGGAGGGAAAAAATGGAAAGGCTGAAGGCCATTATCTCAATCCAATGGAGGAGAACATCTACGCAAAAAGGACCAGCAGAAACAAAATCATAATTTGGACTTGTTTTTGGTACCTCTAATTTCTCTAATTCTCCCCAGAAAGAGTGCCAGAGAATGCGGAATGTATTTATCTATTTTCTTTCATTCTTTTTCTTTTTTGCAAAGAGGATTTACTAAGTGATTTAGTAGGAAAGATCGTAACGCAAGCCTTCACCAAGAAGGATATAAAAGCTCCCCCTTTTTTAATTAAATAAACTTCTGGGGCCATTTGTCACATTCAGAGTGTGTTTAGCAATTCTTTTTTTATTTTTTTCCTAGAATTACAGCAGCTTTGGCAACATAGAATTTTGGGGAGGGGGCAAAATTGGAGAGCTCTACATTCTTCTCTTACATTTGTCTTGTTCTGGTTCCGATCAGCTCCACGTCCCACAAAAAGGAAGATAAAATGTATTTGTAAGTAAATAATTTGGCCCGGGATGAAAAAAAAAATTATTTGGGTTTTCACAAAACATAATACAAATAAAATATCTTTTCTTTAGAATAGCATGATCCCGGGTTGTCACTTTTCCATACAGACACAAACTCAATTTCATATTCATCTTTGTATTCTATTCCATATCTTATTACTATTTTAGCATTTTCTCAGTGATTTTTCCCTTCCCTTAGTTTTCTCAACCTTGTTTTTGATTATCTCATTCCTTTCTAAGTTCACATATCTTTTTCTAAGTTTCAATATCTTTCTAATCATTATGTTTACACTTTTGTCTGTCCTGTTTCAATTTCATATTTTCTTTTCTCATTAAACAAGTTTTCCCCTGTAGTTACTGATTGGAGTATGACACCTTTGTATCTCTTAATTTTTGTTCATTCAGATCTTATTTAAACTTCAGTTTATTCCTTTACAATTATAACATTCAATATCTAACCTCTATTTTATAACACATAACTTTTGCCAATTGAATTCTGCTTGGTACATTCTTAAAATACACACTAAGTTCTGAAAGATAATATATATAGCAATAATACATAAAATAATACAAAAAATACTATTCTATTCCAATTCGGCTCAACATTAATGTTAGTTACAATCTTCCATTAATACTAATTAACATCTTTAAAATATATTTTCTATTAAATAGCATACATCCTTAGAAACACTTATAATATTTCCATATTTTTTCATATTTCTTTCATATTTCTCTTCACTTAAATTTTTATAAATCATTAATAACAATTAATATGTTCCCATCCTTTCCTAATTTCATTCTCTCATTCTCTTTATTTCATTTATTTATTAACAAACATTTCATTACATTACAATAAGTATTTTATCTATCACTTTAACCACACTTGTTCCATATTTTCTAAATTCATTTCTATTTCTAATATAACAATGCTATCTTATGTACCCTTACATAATCTTCTCTTTCATTTAAATTTTCACCCATTATCTCTATGTCTTCTAAATAGGTTTATACCTTTAATCCTTGTACGTTTCTGTTTCTCTATGTCCTGTTTTTGTCCATTATAACTTCTTTTCCTTTCCTTCTTCCCACTCTTCTTCTCCCTCCCCTTTTAATCCTCTCTTCTGTTTCTTCCTCATATTGTAACTGCTTTTCAAACTGTTCTTTTTTTTGTTTTTTCAAATCTTAATGTTTTCCCTCTCTTTCCCCCACTTTCCTTTTCCCCCCACATAGAATTACTTGATCATTAAAGATGGCTTCCTCTTTGTCCCGCCCTTCTTGTTCTTCAAGCATTTCTTGCTCTTTCTCATAGTTCAAGATCTCCATTTCTAAAAATTGAAATACAAAGCCAAAAAACCCTCTTCCTTCTTGTGCATCTTCTTTCTGTTTTTTAAGTTCCATTTTCAATTCTTCCAAGAGTGATGTCATTTTAAATTTTAAACCCAATTGATTTTAGTCATTTAAATCCAATAACCAAAAGTCCAAAAATCACCAAGTAATCCAAATAGTCCAAAGCTGTTTCTTCTTGTTTCTTTTTTCCACTTTCTCTTCCTGGGGTTCTATTATCTTGTTACAAAGTTTCAGTTAGAATGTATTTTTTAGGAATCTTGTTAATGTTTCACTGTTAATTCCTTTTACTTCCAGGTGGTCTCCTCCATTTCTCCAGATCCCACCCTTTTGTTTTTTGGGGGAGGGGGAGTTTTGATAGGTGGACTAGTTAGAAAATCTCACCCTCATATGGCTGGGACATGAGCAGGTCTGGCTGAAGCTAGGGATTTATGGACTTCTCTGTAATTGGTTTTTATTTGGAACCTGAGATGTTGACTCTGGAGTTTGATAGGTCCTTGTATTCAAGGGAGAAATGATCAGGATTAGCTTCCTTCATTTTGGACATTCCAGAATGGGAGGACGTTAATGCTTCTCCATTGCTTCATAAAAATGCCAACTTCCCAGATACAGTTGGTGATTGGTTTCATATCCTGCATATGCCGAGTGGTTTTTAACCACCAATGAAGGATTTACAAACATGAATGGAATCTAAAGCAGGATGCAGAACAAAGCAAATATTTCAGAACTCCTGGGAAATTTCAAAGGTGCTTTTTCAAAAGCCAAAAGGCAACTGGACTGGGTTTTTTTTAGAAAGAAGAAAGAGAGAGAGGAAGGAAGGAAGGAGGGGGAGAAGAAGGAACGAGGAGGAGGAGGAGAAGGAGAAGGAGGAGGAGGAGGAGGAGGAGGAGGAGGAGGAGGAGGAGGAGGAGGAGGAGGAGGAAACGTTTGCTTCTCATCCAAGCCTCATTAGTTCTGATGTTGGGAGAATGGATATGTTCTAATAGGGTGGAGATGGTTGTGGGGAAATCGAAGGATTGTGTTTCTTTGTAGTCATCTGGTCATTAGCACTTTCTCTGAGAGTTCTTGAGGCCACTTGGGGATTTATCTGTGCCCCTGCGGTCACCTAAATTGGGGCGCAATTGGTTATGGACTCTTCTTGGAACTGCTGCAAGATAGGTGGCGTCATATCTCCCCCCCATCACACCCCTCTTTCAATCCAGTGGTTCTCTGTATCCAAAATGTGGGACTTTGCTGCCTTCAAAATGTTTTTTTGTCAAATGCAGATGGACCACCCAATCTTGTCCCGGAACAAGATGAAGTGATGAAAGTTCTTGGATGAAAAGCAAAACTAGTTCCTTCTCCTCCTCTTCTTCCTCTTCCTCCTCCCACCCCTCCTCCTCCTCTTCCTCCTGAAACCAATACTCCCGTTGCCTTTTGAAAAAGCCCCCTTGAGACAAGAAGGACCTGGATGACTGAATATCTCCAGAGACTCTCATGGAGAACCTCTTAATGCTTTCAGAAAGGATCTCTCGGAACGGCAGTTTTTTCTTTTGGAGATTACTCACCCAAACCGCCAGTTAATCATCATCGACATTGATCTGGAAAACGAACTAGAGGCAAGCAACAGATTCATTTGAGGAACGGAGTAATTCTTTGGGGGAGGGGGGGTTTCCCTCTCCAGCTAGCTAATGATGAAGACGAATGGACTTCACACACTCTCAGTGCCGGGGTAAGTAAGTGTAGAAAATGCTTTCACACTTCGTTCAGGTAATGGATGAAACAGAAACGAAGCAATGCTGAGAAAAGAGACAAGCATCCCAGCGGTGTTTTGCAGCTGTAAGTGGAGTTCTCTTATTGTGTGTCTTTGTGCGTGTGCATGTGTGTGTTTGTGAGGGCTAGAACAAACTTCAGATGACAAGCTATGACAGATGCTTCGAGCTAGGCTTAAGACTCAATCCTAGTTCCATGAAAATCGGGATCGCAAGACAAATCTAGATTGGGATAAGGCAGGTTGTAAATTGGGGAAACAATGTTATTTGTGGTCAAAATAGGGCAATTTTTTTGTGTAATTGGACACTGGCTTCCTAATTATTTGTTTATTTATCTGAATGTCTATGGTCTTCTATTCAGTAGTGACTCAGGACAGGATCATGAGCCCCAGTGGCACAGTGGTTAGAGTGCAGTACTGCAGGCTACTTCTGCTGACTGCCGGCTGCCTGCAATTTAGCAGTTCAAATCTCACCAAGGCTCAAGGTTGACTCAACCTTCCATCCTTCCCAGGTGGGTAAAATGAGGACCCAGATTTTTGGGGACAAGAGGCTGACTCTGTAAACCACTTAGAGAGGCCTGTAAAGCAGTATATAAGTCTAAGTGCTAGTGGTAATGCTATTGCCCTTCCTTCCTTCCTTCCTTCCTTCCTTCCTTCCTTCCTTCCTTCCTTCCTTCCATCCATCCATCCATCCATCCATCCATGGTGGTGCAGTGTTACAACGCAGTATTGCAGTAACTCTGCCCATTGTCAGGAGTTTGATCCTGACCGGCTCAAGGTTGACTCAGCCTTCCATCCTTCCGAGGTCAGTAAAATGAGGACCGAGATTGTTGGGGGCAAGAGGCTGATTCTGTAAACCACTGAGAGAGGGCTGGAAAGCACTATAAAGCAGTGTATAAGTCCAAGTGCTATTGCTATCATGAAAAGCAATAGTAAAAAAACAAACAAAAAGCCATTCAAAATCACAGCCGGATTTTCTGTTCTCCTAACACAACAAAACAGGCATTAACATGGGACCATGGTTTATCTCAATGTTGCAAGAATGGAAGAGATAAAAGCTGATTTGGGGGGAGGAGGAGGAGGGGAGGGGGTGATGGAGATGGAGATGGAGAAGTACGGTGGGGTCTCTGGAGCTCTCTGAACTTGATTGTTTTCACGTACGACCCATTGGGTAACATCATCATTGCTGGAAGGGAGGAGGAGGAGGAGGAGGAGGAGGAGGAGGAGGAGGAGGAGGAGGAGGAGGAGGAGATATATATTCT